GGGTCCTGGGATCGAGTCCCACATTGGGCTCCCTGCTCAGCGGGAAGCCTGCTTCTCCCTCTCCCACTCCCCCTGCTTGTGTTCCTGTTCTCGCTATCTCTCTCTGTCATATAAATAAATAAAATCTTAAATAATGCTGCAGTGAACATAGGGATGCATATATCTCTTCAGATTTGTATTTTCATTTTCTTTGGATAAATACTTAGAGTAGAATTGCTGGATCACATGGTAGCTTTATTTTCAATTTTTTGAGGAACCTCCATACTATATTCCATAGGGGCTGTACCAGTTTACATTCCCACCAGCAGTGCACAAGGGTTCCCTTTGCTCTCCATCTTTGCTAGCACTTATTTGTTGTCTTTGTTAATAACCAATTTGAGAGGCTTACAGTGATTTCTTCTGGTTTTGATTTATACTTCCCTGATGATTAGTAATGTTGAGCATCTTTTCATGTGTCTCTTGGTCATCTCTATGCCTTCTTTGGGAAAATGTTCAAGTCCTCTGCCCATTTTTTTAATCAGGCTATTTATTTTTTTGATACTGAGTTGTATAAGTTCTTTCTATCATCTGGATATTAACCTCTTAGCAGATAAATGATTTGCAAATACCCTCTCCCTTTCAGTAGGTTGCCTTTTCCTTTTGTTTTGATGATTTCCTTCGCTGTACTAAAGGTAGTATCTATCCTTCTCAAATGATTCCAAAAAATAAAAGAGGAAAGAAGGCTTCTAAACTCATTTTACGATGCCAGCAATTACCCTGGTACAGAAACAAGGCAAAAACACCGTAAAAAAAGAAAATTACATGTCAGTATCCTTGATGAACACAGATGCAGAAATCCTCCACAAAATATTAGCAGACTGATTTCAACAATATATTAAAAGGATTCCTATACTTTTAATGATAATTCTTTTCTAAGATATTCAATCAGAGAATTAAAGATAGTAGTTACATATGTTAAAAATTATCTTAAAAACCACTTAAATTGTGAGGAACTGGTTCTTAGGAAATAAACAGCCAAGAACCAGCTTTATAATTTTTAAAAAATTGTTTCTGACTTTTGGCTGGTACCTCCATTGTATCTCTGTCTCTGGGGCAGTAGAGGTCTGGTTGGAAAAGGAGCAGGTGAGAGGGTAATGGGTAAGAGGGTGAGGAGAGGATTCCTCTCTGTCTGCTGAGTGTCTACTGGAAATAAAGATGGAGCTCTGCTGTATGGTAGGAGAATTTGAGCACTACCCAGGTGAACTTCAATTAAGTCATGTGCCTCTGTGATTACAAAATTCATTTGAGTTACAATTTTTTGTAATCTAAGGCTAAATAAACACTTTTAACACTTAATCAAAAATCTTCTTAAACCTTACCAGCATTTCTTACCATAGTATTTTGCCCAGAAGACTTTCTTTGGTGTTAGCATCATGAAACCAGTTATCATTGTACAGTTACAGATATATTAAGAGTTTTGTTTTTTAAAAATTCTTAATATTGGGTGGTTTTCTAGTAAGTCTTTTAAGAGACTTCAGATGGCATGCTAAAATCAAGACAGGAAAGAAATTGAATCACTGAGTGTTCTAATAAAAGGTTAGTATAACAATATTTGACCTATACTATATTTTTATACATTAAGAATACACAGTGAAGAATTTTTATTCCATGAAACATACAGAGTATATTCCATAGTGCACTTTTAGTTTTATCTAAATGTTTTTAGATTTATGAACAATTAATATAAAAATGTGACAGTCTGGCTTTTTATCTTTTTTAAAAAGCAGAAATATAATATTTTAATACACAGCTTCTGTACAACCAAAAAGTAAAACATCACAGTAAAATGTTGGTGAGAAAAGATGGTATTTCATTTGCAGTGCATGGCAAATGGTTAACATTCTTAGTCATAAGCTTTTTATCATTTTTAATTTCTTTCCTCTCCCCCTCTCTCTTTCTGTCTCTATAGTGAATCTGATGGTTCTGGGAAACATGGTGGCAATGTTTCTTTGGATATTTTACCAGTTAAAGGTCCTCAGGGTTCTCCACTTCTTTCACAAGCTGTTTGCCCACCTCAAGATAAATCATCCTCTAAGGAAATGTGGACTGTCCAGCCTGAACACTTGATTTTGATAGCCCCTTCTTGTGAGTATATCAGTAACAACACAACAGCAGTGCACTCTGAAAACCAGGGCTGTATTCACTCTGGGCCCGTTGCTCATCTAGGAAATATACTTGGAGTATATACAGATGTGACCAGTGGCTTATGCAGGTCCTCCTCTCCCCTACTGAGACCTACCTCACACTCAGCCTGAGCATTGTCTAGCACAAGGCCATTGTCCTCATTCCAAGCTTCCAGTACCCCATCTGGCCGGGCCACTCGTCCATGGGCCCTTCCTCCCACCACATCCCTTGCCCCAAAGAGCTCATTTGGCACTTGGCATCTTTTACTCTTCACATTGATATAGTTGCTTCAGAGTAGGAACAAATCTGGTACCACTGTATGTGCCCAAGATAAGACCAGATGGTAACAATTTCCAGATGTCCTTTTTTTTCTCTTTGTTCAGTATTTTTGTAGTTTAAGAGTAAACAAAATGGTCTTATTTTACCAGGGATTTGAAATTCCTGTAAAGCAGAATTAAGTTGGTAGACTAATGTATTTAGAATTCCATTTTTTACTATTTATTAACATTTGGGTTTTTTCACTAATGCTAAATGTAAGTTATATTTTATTTATCTGATATAATAGGTGATCTGGCAAAAACTGCATGTTTCCAGATTTTAAATAATTCCGTTAGGTTACTGAAATTTGAGTTGTACTGGCCAGCACATTGCCTTACGGTAACACCACAACATGGATTTATCCCGCCAGAGTAAGTATGACTTCCCTTTCCTCCAGATGTTATTCAGATGTTATCATGGTGACATTTTTGAAGGATCGGATATTATGCCATTTTAATTTATTCAGTAGAATTTTACCATATGCTCCCTATACAGAGCTCCATGTGGTTTTGTGGGACCACAATGAAGTTCAAGATTCATTCTCTTTAGCAGAGTAGAGCCCATGTCCACAGCCACTTAGTGTGTATATAGCCTAAAAGGGTTAAGAGACATGAGTGAGATGGGAAAGAGTTCCTGAAGTGGAAGACATCAGATTGTGCAGACGTATTACTCTGTGTACCAAATTACAAAGCAAGGGATACAGCTGGGCAGATGATGAGGGGTGGTGGTCCCTAAAGCCCAGATGGTTCTGTACTTCATTACCTTGGGTCTGGCTCAACTTATTCTGCTGGTTTTGTCTAAAGGACATTTTATAGACAAAGCGTCCTGACTTTTAATAAGTCTGAACCATAACCTAGCTTGCCATTTTTTACAAATAATTTTCTAAGAAGGAAATCTTGGGGACCAAATGCTGATAAGTAGTCCTCTAGGTGCAGCTTAACTATTGATAGGAGGTAAAGCTGTAATTCTGCAGCTTTTCAGGGACTTCATCTGGGTGGGCACAGAACATTCACATCTCAAAGTTGCTTCCTATTTGGGAATGGCAACTTTGCGGAAGAGCAACATGAGGTTTATTTACTTTTGCAAAGTGATGAAGTTTGCATTTTAAAAGAGTTTAGTTGACTAATACTGACCTAAGGTATGGTTAGGCATGCTCCAGAGAAACATTCCTAGGACCAAAGCAATCAATTAAACATTTACTAATTAAGGTTGAAAAGATAGGGAAATGATAGAACAGATTGTTCACAAATAATTTTTAAAATCATCCCACATATTTAGCTGTTAGGAACGGAAAATAATCTTGCTCTGCCATTTGTTTAAAGATTTTATTTTATTTATTTGTTTGAGAGAGAGAGTGCATGAACAGTTGGGGGAGGGGCAGAGGGAGAAGCAGACTCCCCACTGAGCGGGGAGCCCAACTCGGCCCTCAATCCCAGGATGAGCTGAAGGCTCATCTGTCTGAGCCACCCAGGCACCCTTGCTCTGCGATTTTTGACATGGGTGCCAAAGTGTCTTTTGTAACTGGTTGTTTCTTCTGAGTCACAAATCTGATTACATTGTCCACATTTAAAAGTCATCTTTGACATTCCATAGCTCTTGAAGAGAATAATGAGCTCAGAAAGTTTTAGCAATTGGGTAAAAAACAGTTTTTTTTTTATTTCCTTTCCACCCCCTCTCCCTTTTTCTTCCAGTTTCTTTTCCTGCTGTTTAATTCTCTTTGTACTATAACTGTATCATCCTTTGTTATCAAGTGGATCAGAGCTTTTGTAGATTGGTCTTGTGCTCCAGAAATTTTTATTTTGAATTGCTTTTTAAATGGTATTTCTCTGGTATGGGCTGTTTTCACATGAGTTTTCCCCTTAGGTTCATGGGTTTATGCCACTCAACTTTTTGTTAGCCACTGAGTTGGGGCTGTTGCAGACATATATGGGATCTCACCTCTTTTCTGCTCTTTCTTTTTTTTCCTTAAAGATTTTATTTATTTATTTATTTGACAGAGAGAGAGCACAAGTAGGCAGAGCAGCAGGGAGAGGGAGAAGCAGGCTCTCCGCTGAGCAGGGAGCCGGATGTGGGGCTCGATCCCAGGACCCCAGGATCATGACCTGAGCCGAAGGCAGCCACTTAACCGACTGAGTCACCCAGGCGCCCCTAAGATTATTCTTAAGTAAGAATTTCTGGAGAACTAATAATTCCCTGGTGGCTTAGGGCAGGACCATTTGTTTTGACAGTCACCAAGCAGAAGTTCAGGCTGATGTCCTCTTAAGACAAACCAGGATCCTAGTGGGAGTCCTGCCTATGTAGCTTCCACCTGTCCTTTCAGAGGTGGCCTGAATGGGGACCTGAAGTGTACAGATGAATATGGCCTTTATCTCACAAGAAGGCTTGGACCACCAGCACTGCTGTATGTTGTAGAGATGAGGAACTGGTACAGTGGTGGAAGAGCACTGGGAGCAGCCCTGCTTCTGTTCTTCACACTCACTCCGGATCAGTCTCCACTTGCTCGTGCTTTACTCACTTATTAAATATTACCTTCCTGGTTTGGTTCTGAGAAACTAGTGAAACTATACTTTGTGTACCATAAAACATTGTGGGACTGCAATAAAGACACATTTATTGCATGCTGAGTATATGCCAGGCACTACTCTTAATCATCACTACATGGATTATCACACTTTATCTTCAAACAACTAAGATCATACCACTGTCTCCATGCTACACATAGGGAAGCAAACCTAGAGAGGGGCTTGCCATGGTGGTGCATCTTACATGGCAGTACGTGGTTCAGGGTTCAAATTCAGACTACCTGACGGCAAAGCCCATTTTTATCTATTATGCAGGCTCTAGGTGTTCATACTACTTCTGTTTTCCAGTCCCTTAGAGCAGGAGTTCTCAACCAGAGGCTGTTTTACCCTCCAGGGGACTTTTGGCAATAAGTGGACACATTTTTGGTTGTAACTGCGGGTGGGGAAAAGGGTGCTCCTGGCATCTAGTGAGTAGAAGCCAGGGATGCACATAAACTCCCTGCAAGGTGCAGGATGGCCCCCACCCCAAGGAATGATGTAGCTCAAGATGTCCATAGTGCGAGGTTAAGAAAACTGCTCTAGGGCAGTAGTTCTTCCTCTTGAATCTTGGGATCTATTAGCATTGGTCAGAGTTTATTTCATTTAATCATTCTTTTTCTTAACCTTTTACTCAGCAGTTATTTGTGATTCCTTAGGCTTTGAAATACAGGAAGAATACTTACATTGAGTGTTTTCAAAAACAAACTTTTCCCATTTTCTAGTTTCATACATAAAATTTACTTGGAAGTTTCTGTGGGAAGAGAAATTAGAAACAGTTTTGGTTTTCAAAACTACCAAGAGCTCACTCTGAATGAGGAGGGATTTGTAGGAGCTTCAGATCTGAAGCACTTTAAAATGCTGCCAATCTGTACTCATTTTGGCACACGAATACCAATTTATGAGGTCCCTAAATTTAATTTTTCAAAACGTTATTTTAAGTATATAACACAACTCAAAATAAGCTATTGACGTTTTCAAGTTTGCAAGGCATTCTTTGAAACATTTTATTTTTCAAAAGATTTTATTTATTAGAGAGAGAGAGCATGAACGGGGGGGAAGGGGCAGAGGGAGAGGGTGAAGCAGACTCCCCTCTGAGCAGGGAGCTTGATACGGGGCTCGATCCCACAACCCTGAGACCATGGTCTGAGCAGATGGCAGACGTTTAACCACCTGAGCCACCAGGTGCCCCTGGAACACAGTTTAATAATTAGGAATGATAGATCATTTTGAAAGGAGTGCATTTTTTTAAGATTATTTTGTTTAAAGATTTTATTTATTTATTTGACAGAAAGTACAAGCAGGGGGAGCAACAGAGGGAGAGGGAGAAGCAGACTCCCTGCTGAGCAGGGAGCCCGACTGGGGGCTCAGTCCCAGGACCCTGAGATCATGACCTGAGCCAAAGGCAGACGTTTAACCAGACTGAACCACCCAGGCGCCCCTATTTATTTATTTTAGAGAGAGCATGAGTGCGTGAGTTGGGGGAGGGAGCGGGAGGGAGAATCTCAGGCAGACTCCCCGCTGAGCTCGGAGCTTCCTCCCAGGATCCTGAGATCATGACCTGAGCCAAAATCAAGAGTTGGATGTTTAACCGACTGAGCCACCCAGGTACCCCTTAAAGGAGTGCATTTTAAAGGATATGGAAAGTTTGTTTTCTAGCAGCATATCTATTTTCCTACATTTTTATTTATAGACTTTATTCTCTGAATCCTTGTTTTCTGGTAGTGCTGAACCCTGTGGAAGCAGCCTGGCTTGGAGACAGCACCCACTGGCCCTTAAAGTCTGCCTCCAGTCTGCACTCTGGCTACCAGGGAGCCTGTCCTCTGAGAGTTGTTTGAGTTCTTGGCTTCTGTTTGGTCCCTTTGGCACACTTCTTTCTCATCTGATAGATCAAAAGCTAATAGGATTATAGAACAATAGATTTTGTTTCACCAACACATTTCATTTTCAAAATTGAGAATAATTGGGAAGTTGGAAGAATTATATGGTGAACCCTCACATACCCTACCACATAGATTCTACAGTTAACATTTTGCTCTGTTTAATCACATATCTCACCATCCATCAATTTGTCTCTTTTTTTATGCAATTCAAAGTAAATTACAAACATCAGTATATTTCACCCTAAACATTAGCTTCTTAAGCAAGTTTATCTATATTAATCTTTTATTCCTTAATCATCTAAGCTTGGCTTGTATAACAATGAAATAATTTAGCATATTGGAAGGTAAATAATTTTGCAACTCTTTGATTTGTTTTTGTCCTAAGAGAAGTTCTTTAATATGATGCTGGATTGGGGCACCTGGGTGGCTCAGTCGTTAGGCATCTGCCTTCGGCTTGGGTCATGATCTCAGGGTCCTGGGATTGAGCCCCCACATAGGGCTCCCTGCTCGGCGGGAAGCCTGCTTCTCCTCTCCGACTCCCCCTGCTTGTGTTCCCTCTCTCGCTGTGTCTCTCTCTGTCAAATAAATAAAATCTTAAAAAAAAAGAAAAAAGAAAAAAAAATATGCTGGACTGGAAGTGGGGTAATTAGCCAAAGTACACAAAGAATAATAATTGTATTAAATCTGTATGGGTTTTTTTTTCTGGCTATAATTTAATCTTCTGCTTTCTGCTTACATAAAAATAATTTTGGATGTATATATTTTCTGCTTTTAGATACCTTTGTCTGGATATGGAGGAACAAGTAATCTTATTTTGGAAGATGTTAAAAAGTTATCTGACAGCTACATGGTAACAGTGAATGACTTAGTACCTGGCAAAGAAAGTAGAATTGTTTTTTCTGTTCATAACACTGGCTCTCGGGCAGCTTTTGTTAAAGCAATAGGTTTTAAGGATTCTCAGAAAAAAGTTTTGCTGGATCCTAAAGTATTAAGGATTCTTCCAGATAAATTTGTGCTCAAAGAAAAAACACGAGAAGTAAGTATAAGTCTCTGCACTAAAAATATGAACTCATTTTTAGGTTAAATTAAGGATTATGTATTTTATAGCTAAAAACTAGTATTTGAAAGTAATAAAGGAATGGAAATACCTGATCTTAGAAACGCTGTCATTATGCATCCATGTCTATTGACTGTTTAGGCTCATATGGTAGTTAATTCACAATGAAATGACTTAAGAAAAATATTTAATATTCACTCCTGATTTTTTTCCTTGGCATCAGGATGTTACCATAATATATAATCCATCAGACAGAGAGAGCAATTATATAACCACAACAGAACTGTCAACTGTATACTTCTTTGGTGGTGATGAAATTTCGAGGCAGCAGTATCGAAGGTAGGTTACTTATCTTAGATGATGTTGGAAACTCTTCCGTAGAAATAATGAAGGTTTAAAAATGGTTTGGGATTTGAAAGTTATAAAACATGCTCAGCTACTTATTAGTAAACCGGTGGATGAAAAATCTTGGTAAAATTTGTATAGCTGACAGTCCGCCATGATGTGAGGAAGAAATGCATGTAGGAAACCCATCTGCCATATTTGCATTGTGCCTTCTTTTCTAGACAGATGTATTATGCCTCTTCTCCTTTATGCAAATAGGTACCTCAGACTTCATAATAGGACGATCTTCCTAATGATGGTAGGTCAATTTTAGAAAAGATTTAAGAACTACTGAAAGAATATATTGTGTATAAACACACCTGACTTATTTGTAGTATTTCTGGGAATGTTGTGAATTATTTGAAAGGATTAAGTTGTATTTAGAAATGTGTAGGGTGTTTAACTTGGTTACTTAACGCCATGTGCTTCTAGAAAATTTGGTACTTCTAAATAATAGTTTAATACACAAAAATGTCAAATTTAGACATTTAGATTTAGGTGTGATTTAAGCATAGGTAACTTTCTTGTATGTTGAATTCAGAGTTCTTGTATTATAAAATTTTGTTTCCTAGCCTGCAGGGCCTGAATATAAAATAAGTGAAGCTCAGGACATTTCATCTGTCAGTAGGAAACCATTCGCTCCCACTAGGGGAGGCTTATATGCATTTACCAGTATTTCCTTCTTCCAACCCTTTGTGCTCTGCTGTGTTTTATTCTGATACATAATTTAGGAGATTGTTTTATTTTTAATCTGTTGAGGATTGTTGGAACATTTAAAAAGAGACTTGAATGACAGGTTGCTACATGATGTTAGAATAGACCCAATGTAAAGAGCTCAACTTTGAACCTGCTTTTGTTTCTCAGTTAAGTATTTTAAGATACAGAAACTGGCATTTGGAGAAATTAAATTACCAGGTTTGGGTTTATTTTTCCCCCTTTCTCTCTACTGGGATATAGAAATCAGCATATTGTTTTAGAACTCCTCTTTGCCATATATATATAGTAATGAGATTTCTTTTGTTTGTGAACATCTGAGTATTACAGAGAAATTTACATTTCCGTTCTCTAACCTCAGAGATTCTTTTTTTTTTTTTCTTCTTCTTCTTCTTTTTTTTTTTTTTT